GTTTACAGCATCTGACATTCCGCCTCTGCCTCTTCTGCCTCTCTCTGCAGGTTCAGCACCTCGAGCTCTGCTTCTATCTCTGCTTGCTTCTTTCGTAGTTCTAATTCCATTATCGCATACTGAATTTTCGCCTTGGCTGCCTTTGCCTCTGCTCTTTTCCTTGAAAGATCTTCAGTGAAGAGAGTAAATCACTTGACTGAGAAGTAACACTGTGAATACTTCCACTGTCTGAAAGATCCACTTTGTTCTTTACAGGGCCTGCCTGTGTAACGTTGTGAAAATGCAAAAGTTAGCATCTATAGCATTTAACACACAAGTAATATAAATAAAGACCAAGAGATTTAACATAAAATAAAATATATTATCAACTTACACTGTAGATAGCCGGGGTTCCGACAGAAAGACAAAAATCAACAAAGTATGGCGGCAATCTTTAACGTTAAATTAAGTCGTACGAAAAATATTAGTTCGTACCTCAAACTATTCTATTAAAAAAATACACTGTATAGCCAAAATAGGAAATATGAAAATGAAGCCAAAACATAAGTTATACATGTGTTTTTCATATAAAATAAAAAAAATATATATCCGGTATTGATTTTGATGTGAATCATGAATGTTAGAATATAATGAATAAATGGGGAAAGATAAAATTGCTGGAGTATAGAAAACATGTTACAGTTCATGGAAACCTGTTTGTATATTTAATGTTTAATTTATATCTCCATTGAAATTGTACTTTCCCTTTTTCAAAGCTCAAAATGAACTTCCTCTCCTTAAAATAGTAAACTTACCTTAATTAGAAATTTTTTTTAGAGTGAAAAAGGAAATCCCTTTCTTATCTTTAATTTCTTTAAAGTACGAACTTCAGAAACTCACATTTATAAGCTTTATTCGACATGTACATGTTAGTGCATTCTTCACAATTCTGCATGTAATGTTCTTGTACTTTTCCTCCGACGTCATTGTATTCAGCACAGTAACCTACAATGCATTATAAGATTAACAAACATCTTGTGGAGAACATGTCCCCTTAAAAAATAAACACAAAACGTATTTATGATATCCTTTGTTTTGCTGCAAGTCCAATAAATAAATATACTTACTGCTTTGTAAACAAATCGGTTGTACCTTTCATTTTTATTCCAAAACCAAATGTAATGCTTAAGCAATAGACAATAATGTATTTTGCTTTCAGCATATATAGTGCAGCCAATTTTATCTACATTTTTCCGTCCAGAAGTGTAAAATATACCAAGACCAGATAAACATGGTTCAATTAATTTTAAAAACTATTTTAGAACCAACAGGCCCACTGGCATAAAGGTTCACCTGAGCATCATGTTACAACATTCGAACAATTAGATTTTTAAACCAAAGGCCATGCATTACAATTTTGAAAGAGGCACCATTGCTCATCCTAAATAGACACTTAGCATGCTTATTTTGGTTACTTTATACCCATAGGCTGAGTAGGGAAAGAAAAAAAAATGCATTTTGAGTAATGAGTAAAAATCAGTAATAATCAGTAGTGCCCAAAACCACAGGAACCCTCGACCCTGGATTCACACATTTCAAAATTTTAGAACAGTCGCCCTTGCTTTTCATACTGTTTGATTCATATTCATACAAATGAACATATTTCGAAGCATAAATTTATTTTGGTATATAATCATAAGAGCCCCCCCCCCCCATGGAACCCCTTAAAAAGGGTCTTGAAATTCACAATTTTGGACTGATTGATTGATTGTATATTGTTTAACGTCCCTCTCGAGAATTTTTCACTCATATGGACACTCTACAATTTTGGAAGAAGGACCCTTGCTTATCAGAACTTTGTAGGTAGTCCATCTACTTAATACCCAGGAGCAAAGACGTTTCAAAAAATTAATACATTTTCAAGATAAAACTGTATATTCAACTAAACCTAGCACTAACACTAGAACCCTTGACCCTATATATGGCTATGAAAACCAAATTTTGAAAAAGCATCCTTTTAAAAGAATTAATGATTTCACTATAAAATTAATAGAGCCCCGTCCTAACCAGAGCTCTAACAATTTTCCTATACCTCCATTCAGACAATTGACCAAGTCATTTACTTGTAGGATCTTCAACTACATTTGTCTGAGTTTTTTTCTCAACGAATCAAATAATGCCATTTCGACCTCGGCCAAATTGGGTTGTATTGACAATTAGGCACATAAACTGAAATTTTATTTATGTTTTCTGTTCCGACAATATACATTTTCACAAGTGAACCTGTCAACATCAAACAGAATCCACACTTTGAACCTTGAATTTCGATCTCGATCAAATGTGAACTCAATTAATAGCGATCCCTATTGGGATCAAAGTCTGGTTTTTATGGAAGGCTTCTGTAATAAGTAATTATAGACATGTTAGTATTTTACCAACCGTGTCAAAGGTTTTTGAAAAGGTTTTATGTGTACAACTTTCTGACTATTTTGATGGTATTTTTAACAATGCACTTTGTGCATTTAGAAAAGGTCATGGATGCCAAACAACACTACTGCGACTCCTTGAAGACTGGAAAATGGCTTTAGATCAGAACTTACATGTTGCTGCTATGTTAATGGACCTCTCCAAGGCTTTTGATTGTTTGCCTCATGACATACTATTAAGTAAACTCTCTGCTTATGGTTTATCCTTAAATTCTGTCTCCATTCTAGGAAGCTACTTGTCTGAGCGCTTTCAGCAAGTGAAACTTCAGGGAGTTGTCAGTAGTTGGGTTGGTATTAAAAAGGGAGTACCACAAGGTTCCATCCTTAGACCACTACTTTTCAATGTTTTTATTAATGACATTTTTTATTTCATTAAGAATGGGTCTTTATATGATTATGCAGATGATAATACTTTAGCATACTGGCATAAGGATCTCAACACTCTGATAAATACTTTACAAGATGAAATTTCTGTATTATTGAAATGGTTTAAAGAAGACTGTATGCAAGCAAATCCATCTAAATTTCAGGCAATTGCCTTGGGTAAGAAAAGTTTTGATAAGAACCCTGTATTTAGAATTAATGGTGCAAAGATTTTGTGTAATGAGACTGTCAAATTATTAGGAATTGATATTGATTTTATGCTCAAATCTAATGTCCATATTAGTTAACATCTGTAAAAATCTGCCCAACAATTAATGTTTTTTAAAAACGCATTGGCTCAGTATTAACTCGGGCAAACAAAATTACAATATTTAATAGTTTTATTTTGTCAAATTTTAATTTCTGTCCTCTTGTACGGCACTTCAAATTAAAGAAAAATACCAGGAAAATTGAAAAAATTCAAGAAAGAGCTTTACGTTTTATTTATGAAGATTTGGAGAGTAGCTATAAGTCATTACTACATAAGGCAAAATCACCATCATTAGAGATTAGAAGAATGCGTAGCATGGCTCTGGAATGTTTTAAGATTTTACATGACCTTTCTCCTAGATGTCTCTCAGACTTAGTGAGTTTTAAGAAAGTGACATACAATTTTAGATTTTCAAACATTTTAGAAATACCAATAGTGAAAACTATCATAAGGCAAAATGTCTTTTAGATATGCAGCATCAGTTTTATAGAACTCCTTACCTGAACATTTTAAATGTCAAACCAATTTTTTACAGTTTAAATCTATGATTGCCTCTTGGAGCGGTAAGGACAGTGAGTGTACAGCCTGCTCAACTCGGTAAGTTGTGTCCTTTTGTTTTTGTGTCTGTGCATGTGTGTCAATTTTTTTCCTGTTAAGATTTTTTGTTTATGTACTGCTTGCATGTTTGTAAAGGTGTGACTTATATATGTATCTCGATCTGTTGCTTTCTCTATGCATCTGTTCCTGTATTGTTTATGTGTCTTTACATGTGTGTTTTTATATGTATCTTTAACTGATAATGTCCTTTAAATTAGACTGTGTGCTGTATTGTTGCAAGTAATTCTATGTTTATATGGTGCTGCATGTTTTCTTTGTTTTACTGTTATGTATATGTTAAAAAATGTCAGTCAAAAGCTCATTAGAGCTTGTGTTACTTTTAACTACAGTACTGACTTTAAATAAAGCTTATCTTATCCTTATCTTATCTTCTGTTTTGAAACCAACAATGAATATTCAACAGTCGTTCTTTATTTATTTTTAAATATTCTTTTTGCATTAAAATACAATTGTGCAATGGGACAACTGCCCAGCAATGTTCACTTGTACGTATTTTGTGCTGGTACCGGACAAATGTTAATGTTGAGTCTTGATAACACCAAAACCCTTGAATCATGGGTATAAATTCACCATTTAAAAAAAAACTATCTTGCTCATAACGACAGTAGCTTGATTAATTTCATAGAAATAATTCACCTTCGATTCATTATAAAATCTATAAAACCTTGTCCTAGCACTGAACCCCTGACCCTGGGGCCAAGAATATCACAATTTCGGTAGAGGACTCAATGCTTATTACAATCATGGCAACAGTTTGACTGCATGATGTCAATGAGTAAAAAACAAGATTATAAAGAAAGCAATAAATTTTTGCAGCAGTTTCAGAGAAGCTGAAAATAATCAAATGTTAAAACACGACGCATAACGGACGTAGTACGACGACAGACGAAAACGTTTAGCCATAGGTCACTTGAGTGACTCAGGTATCCTAAGAATAGGTAAATTAGTTAAAACTAAAAGCTAAAACCTTGAATTAATTGAGACCAAATACAACGGATAAAACGGAATTTTATTTAAGATCATTGCTAGAGTATTTAGTAAATCAACATTTAAAAAAAGATTATCACCGAGCACACAATAAGGAACCAGAAATTATAGAAAATAAATTGAAAAAAGCTTGCATTTTACACGTTTTTATATCATTACCTGGAAGAATTTTAGCTACAGGTGTACATACTTCTACAGTCAAATTACCCCAGGGGTTTATAAGACAGTGATATTCCATCGTGTGTAAGCAACCCTGTGTATATTCGCATTTCTTATTTTCTGCAGCTTCCATCCATGATTTTTCATCTGTTGGACAAGATTCCACTACATTTCTTGTCTGTTTTGAAGACTCGCAGTATTCAGGATCAATCAAATGCATACTATTTGCACTCACGACATCCTGTAAACATGAGGGACTTGTAAAAGAAGTAGAAATACATGGAGATAAAGAACAGTATTTAAGCTCAAATGTCCATTAAACAATATGAATTTAGACCTTCATGGCTTTTTGATGTTATCACCTGAATCCCTACCAAGTTTGAAATGTATATCCATAGATAGGAGGTTTTCTAAGATATAACAGAGTTCCAATATAATGTTATGGATTCCTCAAAATTTTCCTTTCCCGTTTTTTTCTTTAGAAGCAACGTTATGTAGACATGATGTTCAAAATGTAATTTCGGACTTTCTTTCTGCCTTCATGTATTATTATTTTCTTTGATATAACGATTTATATAAAGCATATCCAGATTTTAAAATTGCAAAAATCATATCTCGGAACAACACACTAAATAATGTCTGTAGTCATATTCTCTGTAAAATGGAGCAAAAACGAAAAACAATCTCTAAATTCAAATTAAGAATTGTTACATCGATTCGTATTCCAAATTTTTGCATAATATTTTGCTTTGTTGGAAAGAAACCAACTTGAGAAGGTAGTTAGTACTCATTGAAAACGACAAAACGGATGATTTTAGAAAATCAGGGAGGAGCAGATAACAATTCAATTTTGGAAAAATTCTGAATAAACTCTAAAAATGTTGGAGGAATCAAAAAAAATATGTCACGAGTGAGTTGTGCACGTGTGTATTTGAGTGACAGAGACTCTGTACCGGACGAGGAAGCTGTGAAGAAACGTTTTATATGGTACAATCTGATCAAGATCTTTAAAAAGTTGGACTGGTGAGGAAAGTCTAGCCGCTCCAGACTTGCTAATCCTGTGAAAGCAGAATTAAGTAATAAAAGAAATTATACAAGAGCAATTTTTCAAAAATTAATGTCAAGTATTAGAAAAAAGTATTTAATGAATGGGCATTGGATTATACTGAAATGTGTAGGGATAGTATTTTTTTTAAAAGAAATTTCTTGACACTATGTTCTGAGGTTACATTCCTGTTAAGTGTGCTCCGCAGGTACATGATATGTTGATTTTAAAATAAAGTAAATTGCATTCTGATAAATCGAACGGAGTGAAACGTAACACATCAACAAAACAAATATTTTCTTTTTTAAATGACATCATCCACGAACATTTCGAACAACCCTCACCTTGTATATGTTTGTAATCCCGAATAATCTGCATTCCACAGCAATAAAATTGTTTATTCGTTCTTATAAGTTATTTTACTAAATTATCCCTTCTCTTACAGAAACATTCTGTAATTAACGCAATGTCACACTAAGCTGTGTATGTAAGCCCTTTCAGCGTCCCCATTTACTGGAATGTTCATAACGATACCATTTTCGATGGTGCATGTACTAGATAACCCTGTCAATCTTATTATTTGTTTTTATGTTCCCCTTTTCCTGAGCCGTTTTGACTGTCCTTTTCACCAGGTATATTTTTTACAAATCACATTTCTTGTTAAAAAGGAACCACTCATTATCTCCTTATTTTCGAAAGGCATAAGGTGCCCTCGCCTCATCACGAGTTGACGAATTCATGTATCTTAAATAAACTTAAGATCCCAAGTACAGTGTATATAAGCAAAAAGCCTTTCTGGGTTCTATGAAGATTCAAACCCCAATAGTACAACAAAAGAATTAATACAGGCGCAAATCGCTTTGCACTGTGATTTTTAGAAATATTTTCTAATTTGTTGAACACCGAAACATAAAAGGTTCCGAATACATTAGAGGGGGGGGGGGTATTATGTATTAAATTAGTTTCGCGGGGATGGTAATTCTGATGAATCATTGCGTCACTCGAGATCAAGTGAAAGCTCCTGTACCATGTATTTCCTATTGTAAAACATATGGAGATAACGAGGAAATACAAATATAGCTTTATACAACTTTAAAAAGAAATCCACTACCACTTTTGAAGAGAGAGAAAGGCAAGAGTATTGTCGTGTCCCTCTGCAAGCTTTTATTAAAAACCTGAGTAAAGAAAAGATACTCTTATACATTCCCAAGATAAAGAAAAGTAATTGCAGTTTGATAATTATATATATTTTTATTAGTCATATTTTTTTTATTTGGATAACCCCAGACTTTCCCATATTAAATATGTGCCTAAGGTTCTGCAGAATGACTGAAATGAAGCACATTTTGTTCTCCCGATACATGAAGCAAATTAAACATTTACGTATGTAAAAAATATTGAAATCTATTGAAAACTATTTTATTACAATATCTATGGAACTGAGAACCTTGTCGGCAATATGGCATCAATAGTATTTTTCAACTTGAATCTTGGGCCTCATCTCGCGGCAAATTCTCGCATAAACAAGATGCTGGTGAAAAGTAATTCTAATTCAAATCCTGTATTAATGAAACTTTATCAATTCCAATAATCAAAAAACCCTAACTATACACATCCTTATTACTTTCGTTTTCAACCAAGCTAGGCCTTACTTGCAATCGATCGTCTTAGGCCCGACAATGTGACATCATTCATTGACAAAATCAGTGGAAACTGCCGACATTTGATCAATTTGTGATATTTCATATGCGTACCCACTATTTAAAACAGAATTATACATTTTTGAATACATGTAGATCATACTATGTTTTGGAGGAAAAGCTCTTAATTAACGAATTCCCTTGGGGTCAGTGTCTTGACTACATACTCAGCAGTACGAAAGAACAGCTTTTCTGTGGCACTTTAACAAGACTGTAGGAGAAAAGCAATTCTTAACTATTTGTCAATAAAATTTATTAATAACGATTGTCTTTAGGATTATTGTCAACGCATAAAAAGCTAGAAATTTTAGATTTCTGTGACATAGCATAATTTCACTGTATTGAACAGTTATTATAAATATAATCTTCGTAGTATTATTATTCAAAGTAATAAAAAGTTACATATGACGTTTTGATTATTAATATTTATCTGATAAACACAGTTTATGTTATAATGTTTCTATGCTTATATTATATATAGGGGCAAGACTGTGCAGGTTAAAGTCTATGTGGCAGATCCTATATTTACCTTAGAGTGGTTATAAATCAAATATTAACAGAGTATATACATGTGTAACCAGTAATAATTTTTATAATATCATTTAAATGACTTTTTCACTCTATCCACGAGTGGATCCTGTACTAAATGTATTGGCAAATGGAACATTGAGTGAATGGGGAGGGAGGAGAAAGTTGTCGTTGATCATTTTAGTCACAGCAATAGTCATTATGCATACATGTACGTGTTAGCGAATAATTTTGATTTCAAAGAGGGTATGATGTCTTTTGATTATCAATAGGAAAAAAAACATAATGATTTTTTACTAGACTAGATAAAAATGATTTGATAAGAATTGACATTTGCTATATTGCGTACAATTTAACTCATTACCTCCCTCCCACCCTCTTCTTTTTATAATCACGCAAGAAATAGTTTATCATTTACACATGACACGGTGACATTTTAAATCAGCTGGCGACAATCAGAGAGGTTTGATGTTTCGTTGGAATTCCCGCGACTGCGAAGACAATAAATGCTATGTTCCCACTATCGTGCGTTCATTTATGAAGATTGACCATTCCTAGATGATCACAGAGTTTCTTTTGAATTTTTTGGCAAGGTACTACATGTATGAGATGCACATAGATTTGTTTTCTGCTTTTTAGCGCTATGGTCAAAATAGATAAATTCATGACGATCTGATTATTGTCCAGATAAGGATAATTATGTTCCAACGGGATTATCAAGATTTAGTTCACAAAAAAGACCTCGATTTGTCATAAATATCACGATCCGAGTTCTCGAATGAAAACATTCTTGCAACATTATACTTCATCGCACCCCCATGTGTTAATGTGCGATAGAACAACATGTTCATTGCAATGTCTTTCACGATCAGGATCAAGTTTAAACACGCTTTGAGCTACAACTGAATCCTGACATACATATAACTATCTGACTACTGTAGAAATACTTTTTTTCCGCGTGGTATTAATTTACGCTATGTACGCGGTCACAGATAATCCGCGGAAATTTTTCCAAGCATACTTAATATAAATGTAAGGAATATAGTGACAGTGAAGAAAATCCGCGTAATTTTCTACCTGCGGATTAAACATAAATTGAGATTCCGCGGAATTATGACCCCGCGGAAAAAAGTACGTCTACAGTATACTGAGTCCATTACATTTTATGTATTGAAACGTAAACATTTTTTTTAAATGCATACAATCAATAAGAATGGTAGCTAAGGTTGTTGACAACGTCATTAAAATCATGCTGTTTATAATGTAATTATCTTTATGTGTTATTCCTGTCAAAAAAGGAGAAAAGCAGCAGTAGCTGTTTTCTTTCCACTTTTATTTTTTGTCTACCGGCCTCTGATGGAAGGGGTTCACGTTCAGCAGGAGATAGGATCACTCGACTTTTTTTTAGTCCCTGTTTTCTTTGTGTGGCATCTTCAAACCATTTTGCAAAACTCAAATATTTCCCTGTCCTAATCAGTTAAGTAAATGCCTTCAATATTTCGTGTTATTTTGCAAGTTTACGTACTCGTAATAGAGCGTAAGCGTTCGCAGCAAAGATCTGATTCTCGTACGAGCGTTGTTCTAAAAGTAATTTCACAACTTTGATAAAATTGCTATAAATCGACGTAAAGCAACAAAATTGTACATGATAGAAGCTTTATTCATTTCAGATCAGACCTGAAAAATTCAAAGGAATATGGTTTATTCTTTCCAGAATATCTGATTTTAAACAATGTGCGTTTATGGCAGTCGCCGCATCCAAATAAAACGTCATATTACGAATACGCACCGTCATAATTTTAAGAGTTTCCCCTTCGTTTTATTAAAAATATTTGTGATTCGCAAACACTTTCACCAATTCCAATTTCTTTAAGAATTCTTAGTACCATTATACACTCACTCTTTTCATAATCAAGTCCTCTGTCAAATTTTTGAACAGTAGCATAAGAAAACTTAAAAAAAATTACATCTCACTCTATACGTCTGTATTTTTGACAACGTCAGACACCATTGAATCCGATCTTCTATCTTTCGGTTTTCTTGTCCTTTACTGATCATTCAATGACCAATCACCCGCCCTAAACTGCTGAAAACATCTACTAAGAACTCTCTTATTTACATTCTTTATTCTGTAAGTCTGATTAATTAACGTAACTGTCGCTTGTGATGATTCCCATATTTTGAAGCAAAAATGCATTACAACTCGTCGAGCCGTTTTTCCCATTTCGACAATCCCTTTGTTCAATTCAAGAGAGTAAAACAACAATGATTATGATCAAAAATACTAATGCCGTCATTTAATTTTTAATTAAAGACTAGAAAATGACGAGGAATGTGTCTTTTAAAAAATGGGAGATTATGTGCTTTTTTAAAATCTTTTTAATGTGTTTGTTTTTTTCATTCTAAGAAAAACTACACTTTAATACATGACGTTCCGTTTTGACGCGGCGACACCCCCTATGTTCTATGTTTTAAACATCTATAAAATAAAATCAAATACACATTATTAAATTAGAATTTCTATGTTAATTAGATTTATATTCATGCATCTTTTGGTATATTGTATTTGATAATATGACGCCAAATATGAAAGCTATGAACACTGTGACATTACTCTTGGAACAACCCTCGTATCTAATGGCGTACTTTCATATGTCCGTATCAGATCGTATATGAGCGAAAAATACTTTGTCAACTCGTGAGCAGCGGGATCGACCACCCAAAGCCTCATAGCTATTGACGAAACGTGAGACATTGCAACGAATCGCAAAACGACGGGTGGTTTGTCCTGTCTGAGATCGATTGCAATGATGACGATATGAAAATACGGAAGCGTAAATGGCTCAACAAGTGCAGAGCCATTTACGCTTCCGTATGAAAACTAGTTAAGGTGCGTTTACTTACGATGCAGTTGAGGTTAGTTACGAATCCAAGCGGTCTGGTGCGATGACAACGATTAAAATTTTATCATATTAGTAGCAATTTTTTTTTGCTTGTCAAAATAATTTTACGATCAACACAATAGACACGAGTAAACACATGATTTGTTTCGTTTGATACGATAACTACGATTTATCCACTTTTACGTCCACGATTGAAAATTGTAAGTTATATTACCATTTATCGATATAATGTTTATTGGAACATTTAAGATAAGACTTCACGATCTTTAAGACAATGCTTCATATAACAAAGTATAAAGACATTTTCGACAAAAATAAAGTATCGTTATGATTTAATGCAGAGTAAACTATTGCGCATGGTAGCAAGTTCAAAGATTGACATAGTGTCCACTGTGATAACTCAAAGACTATTATCACTTGAATAAAATCGGTAAATTGTTATTTTAATATAATTAATACTTACCATTTCTTCTGACAAGAGGACTGAAAGCAGTAGGAATACATTCATCATACCGAAGGTAGTTGTTGAAAACAGTATTGGTTGCATTCTAGAAAAGGAAAATCAATTTCAGTTTAATAAGTAGGAACTGGACATATTATCAGTCAGAGTAATATACATTATTGAGATAACACCACTAGATAAACCTATGAGATCATCATTTTCAATGTGCTATTAAGTCTACAATATTTTTAAATATTAGTGGCTGAAAAAAGATAACAAGCTGTAAATGCCATTTGATCTATACAGCGTACTGAGCAAACACAGACCTATAAATTAATCAGAGATTGGATCGGGTAACAAGGGGAGTAAGTATCCCGGGTCGATCCTTCACGCCTGCCCTCTGCTCCTAATGATCGGGTAAATAGTAAAATCAGGAGAAATTCCGTTTATAAATAATGACATGCAATTAAAATAATTAAAAAAAAGAAACGTCAGTCAGGATATATTGTTTTTGATGACTTGTCCATTGCAAAAAAGTCGAAAACATCAATTCGAGACAGATGATATTTGGAAAATTATGATTGTCAATATCTTACCTCGTTTAGAATATGCTGTTATTTAAACTGATCCTATATAAATTGAGCTACTATGGCTGCCGTTTGTATATAAAACCCCAAAACAAACACACATGCACCTGTGCTTTTATATACCCTCCAAGTTAATTAAGAGGGGATAAAAAAATTCGATTCATCTAAAATGTTATCTGGTCACCAAAAATTGACAAGATTTTTAAAGAATACATTTTATCTATATACACAATAAAAGCCAACCAAAAAAAAAAAAAAAAAAAAACGGAACTCTTTATACCTAAGAACATGATTTTTTTCAATTTTAGATGTGGCATCCATGCCCATTAAAACTATGCATTTAGATAGTTTGTTTTCAAGCCCAGGCCTAGGGACAAAGAAAAAGATTTAATTGATGCATTTTTACGATATCATTTATATAACTCCGTCCTTACACCAAAACCCCTTACCCATAGGCCCTTAAATTCACAATTTTGGAAGGGACACAATTATTATCATAACTATGTATATCTGTAGTTTGTTTAATACATAGGTGATTTAAAAGAATTGCATGATGCATTTTTACTATAAAATAAAATAAAGCCTCAAGCTAACAGCAAAATCCCTGGTTCAGACAAGAATCATGAAACTCATAATTTTGAAAGATTCTCCCTTCTTCACCATAACTCTGTATGCAGTTAGTTTGTTTCATACATGTAGCATAAAAGAGAAATCTTCAAAGGAATAAACCACATTTACTACATTATCATTATAACACCCTACCAATGGAACCCTTGAATTTTGGATCAACAATTTCACATTTGCGGTAGGGGTTTTAAATTTTGTTACAATCATACTAACACTTTGACTGCTGGAAGTCCAGGAGTGAAGAGGAGGATTTTTTGTAAAGTTTGCATTAATTTCAGTTGTTTTGACCCCACCCCGCATGCACCAGGAGAGTAGAGACCATGGAATTCACAATTTTCGTATGTTCAAATGTTAACGCACATCGCAAGACGCACGACAACGGGCTAAAACAGATAACAATAAGTCAACTGGGTTAAATTCAAATGACCAGAGGATCCCTAAGTCAATTCCAGAATATACAGTGAGTGTAAATCACACAATATGCAGTGAGTGTACTGTAAATTACACAATTCCTTTAAATTTCTTATCATTATCACACCTATTAGTGTCTTTTACTTAATCACGAAAAAACAGGAAAAAATTCTGATTCCATACATAATGTGTCTAAGGGAGAAGATATAATGTCTGACCGAGGATTTACTCACAGATAAATATGATATTTATTCAGGATATTTTCATTCATCATTTTCACTATTTTTTTTATGTTCTCCTGATTCTCCTTTGTCATCACTATCATCATTATCGTCTTAATCATCTGTTTTCTCGTCATCTGTTTTCAATATCATTTCTTCAAGTAAATGCTTATACTTCCTTATAGTCATGCAAGCAGCCGGTACACTTTCATAACCCATTTAATGAACATTTTTTATACTTTTCATCATTATCTCGTGGCCGGATCTTTTAATCTTCTAAATCCGAAAAGTCTTGGATTGAATGACAATATAAATCTAAAAACGTAATAATATCACTTTTTTTTTATTTTGTTCCTTTTTTCTTCAGCTTCATTTTTCTAAGAATCCACTGTTAAGATATTTTTCGACTTTTCACACCAAACCTCTTTGTTTATTTATTATTATTTTTTTTTTTTTTTTTTTGCTTTTGATATTTTTTTAAAGTCTTCTGAAATAGTCTTCTTCTGCTGATATGTTAAAACACTCATCTTCAGATTCATTTTCGAATTTAGCCGTCTAAAGTATACGTGGTCTCTTTTTCGGTTGGAGAAAAAGTGGATTCCTGCAGCTGCTTCTACTGTTGTCGGGGAGATAAAGTGGATTCCTGCTGTTAATGTTGCTGCTGCACAAGGAATTCAGACTATTTGTTATAATTGTTAGAAGTGTAGTATAACACTTGTTAATGCTGATTAAGGAGTGTTTTGGTTTCAGGTGTCAATGTAATACATGAGGCCAGACATAAGTTCTCCGATAAAGTTTACATTGATTTATATTGATTGATGTTGACTCCTTAGCTGCAAAAAATGAAATGGCTTGTTTCTTTACTCTCAACGTTATACATGTACATGTATAGCCATTAATGTTGCATCATGAGAAATCGGCCAATGGCCATGAACTAATGTATGTATCCCATTTTTTTGCGCATATACCGTTTGTCATCATAAGGGGAAAGAGTTCTCTTGTTTAATGATAATTATGGTGTGTATGAAACATAATTGAGATAACGTATCTGATATTTATCTTATCTAAAAGTAACCGAGCATTCCATTTGAGATTCCTTTTGAAGTAAGTAAACATTCTCTGTTTGATAAATGACGGAATGGAATTTTGTTCTCATACCTGATTAAATGATACCTTTTTCAGGACTCTTTATAATTGATAGCATAGGCGTCGGAACCGGGGAGCTGGGGGGGGGGGCACTTTTTTTTTCAAAATATATACTCAGTATAGACATTGAACATTGTTGCGTAGGTTTAGTCCCCCCCCCCTCCCCATCCTCACTTTCCACACAGAAACGTCGAAGCATAGGTTAGAAATTGGGAAAGTGGTGATGTTTGGAAAAAAATTTTGGTAGTGAAGTTCGAAACTACCCCCACCCCCCACCCCCCACCCCCCCCCCCCCCCCCCCCACCTCCCACCACCATCACGAAATAGGAGTTTCGTATTTGGGGAATGGAAATTTCCTTTTATTTTTTGCTTATCGGTTTTTTTAAGGTATAATTTTTTTTTTACACTTAGCCCCACCCCACTTTCAATTTGCTTCTGACGCCATTTATAAGTGAGACTGTACATTTCGTAGCATTGTTCAGGCTAACTATAATGAAATAAATGGAATAGAGACGTACAAAAAACATGAAAATTTTAAAACTGATTTTACTTTTTAAAAAGCCTCTTATTATCATATACCTTGAATACTTGTTGAAATGTTATAGTAAACTCCACTCTGTAAAGAACTAAGTTTGTTCCTGATCAATAGGATCATATAATGCATAAGATGTGTACTAAAATGGAGGTAATTTACAAATTTCAATAATGCAAGGGCATACCCATATTATAATTAAGTTAATTTTTGATTTTACTCATTTTTGTACTTTCTTAAAAAATGTTCCTTCTTTTAATGGAATTCCAATTTTATTAGTTAAAATTAGGAACATGTCGACATATATGGAATCCGGATAAGACCATGTATTTCACTATCGCACCTTTGAGTATGGACTATAAAGCTGATGGCGTGTTACTTCGACAGCACCATGACGATGAAATAATGGTGCGATGACGATGGAGCTATGGTGCGAAAGCGCGATGGTGATGATGCGACTGCGCAATAATGCAATAGCGATGATGAGAAAGCACAGTGAAGCGATATTGAATACCCATTCATCGTCGTCGTACATGTACCATCGCAAAATCATGATCGCACCATCGCGTCATCGAGCTATAGCTTAATATTACCATCGTATCATTTTCATCGCATTTTTGCACTATTGCATCATCGTCATTGCGCTATCGCACCATCACTTTATCCTTATTACACCATTGCTCCCTTGTCATCACATTATCGCGTCATTGCACTTTTGACCTTAAACTCGATGGTGCAATTATGGATAGTGATCATGAACTGCAAGGACCTTTCAGGATTCCATAGAAATCTGTTTGATCTTTACCAGGTATTTTATGTCCTTGTCAAGTCACGCTCTTGATTTGAAGAAAGCAACAGCATTTTCAAGTTCAGAAAGATAACCGTTATTTATACTCATATATAATGGCCAAGCTCTATGAAGGGTATTTCCTTGCGATAGGACAATTTATTGAGGCACCCCGATGTTTAACAAAACTCATTTGTACACAAAACACGGTAATTTTAATTATATACATTCCCTCGATAATTAAAAGTAAATGCATTAAACAAAGGTTTTTCATTGTCTACTGTAAAGCAGAAAATTAACTCGCGGAGTTAATTTTCGCTATATTCGTGGAAAAAGAAATTCCGCGAATTCAACATATAGTGAATAATTCTTGAAAAGTTTTATAAGGATAAATTGAAATACAGGAGTATTATTATTTTCTGTGATGAGATGTATACCGTCTTTATAATTATTCGAGTGTCTGGATCAATTACAAACACGTAGTTGTTGCTGTTTTTAAAACTTATTTATTGTTTAATTCATTTCTTAAGCTAACGATTAATTTTGCCATCTAGTAGACGTGCAATTTAATTATTCAATAAGACATGCTTGTTAAATTTCACCCGTGCGTATCACTCAGTCATCATTACCTTTAATCAAAGCATTTACTTACAACAGGGTAACGACAATTAAATAATTTCAATTATATGATTAAAAGATCAACATTTATACTACGGTATAATTTTTTTCTGATTTGGACCCGGAAATAAAAAAAAAATATTAAATGCGTAGCATCGTTTTGACTTCAAATAGGGATCAGTCCGGTTGTAAGCCAATGACGACTCTTTTGTCGATTTCAAAAGTTTATTAAATAATTCCAATTTACAATTTTTCCGTGATCGTATAGTTTTAGAAATATTCGTTCCTGAAATATGATCAGAAAAGACCAATACACTTTTTATATAACTGTCCAAAGGGTCCGTCTAAAATATTAAGAGTTTAAGACCGAACTCCAAATAAATAAATAAACAAAAGTCCAAAAGAATGATTCCCAAAATAATAGAATGCCAAAGAGATGTAATAATTTGAGAATAAAACCGGGAATAGAAACGGGAATAAAAGCGGGAATTAAAACGGGAATACTCTTTTCTGACCAAAACAGGGTATTCTGTGCTCAGTGGGTATCCATGGTCCCGGATATAAAAATGCATTTCATTGGATAATTTACCATCACCAACCACCTATGCTTTGTCCGTAGGTCTGTCCGTTGACCTATGAACCCCAACATGGCACCACCCTCAAATGTAGGTAAATACATGTTACTAATATTTATGGGCTCAGTCCCCATCTCTGCACCACAGGAGTTCTAGCCTTAAGCTCTTTTACTTACTTACTTCAAAGTTCCCAATTTTATTGCTCTTAGTCAAAACTCTTAATAATACCATTGTATTTCCGTTCAAATTTTATTACTTACTATCGATGGGCTTGATTGGTCTATTCGGATCAATTTCATTACAAAATGATCTACCAAATAGTGCATTTGAACAACAACAAAATCCAATTTGTTTTGACAAGATAATAATTGTTTACAAAATAAAGTCCTCTTTCCAATTATAAAGTCACCGAATTTGCGTCACTAATAATATACATTCTGATTTAATAAACCTTTATATCATTTTACTTTCACTGCTAATAACTAAAAATGATTATGATATTAATATTGTCTAAGTTTAAAATGTTTAAACAATATGTCTGTGCTAAACCCTATAGGTTTACACGGTGCTTCATTATTATTCAATCGGGATCAAAATCGACACAATATGTATACTTTACTTTTCTGTCTGATATGTGCGATAAACATTACAGACTTTAATATTATACTACAGAGACGGGAAATAGCAGCTCACACAATATATACAATGTACCTACAGAAAAATGCTTGCAAGTATTGTTTAAGAAATTTATGGTTTTTCCTTTTCCGCGAATTCAAACGACCACGATTTGCTGAAAATTGAACAAATCGCGATCTTTTCCGACCGCGATTTTAACCTGCTATACAGTATTGATATTAATAGAATATCTAAAATCGTTTGATAATATTCTGTTTTATAATATGCATATCTTATAGTAAAAAAAAATCTTAATCTGCTTCTAACAGCACATAATTTCCGTCATTTTATCCCAAAATGACGTAATGTTGATTAGTTAACAAACATCAGTGATTTGTTGTAAACAGTTTACTGTTGTTATGGATTTACCTAGCAACTATTTTAAATGCATTGGTAAGTTTTGATGTTGTTTATTATGTTGCTAAATCAGTTTAAAGTTGCAAATTATTTCATTTTCTGATATGAGGAATAATAATTTTTATTTGTGACGCACAGTAAACATTTCCCGAATCAATTAGGTTCTGCTGCCTTATTTCAGCCCTAACAGTGCTTGTTTTTGATTTCAGTCCCACAAACTCCGTCATTGGCACTAACAATTTTTGTCAATTTTCATTTTACCTAGGACTTTATATTTGTAGTATCATACAAAAATTGATCATTCACGTAGTCACTTAAATCAAACTTGCCCTTTACAGATCTTTTTTTTTTACGTCTTCTGTAAAAAATGTTTTAGCATAAGGAATTAGTGTCTGTTAACAGAAGCTCATCCTTATCCTCTTACCTTGAGTTTATATGGTTAGAAAATCGTATTTAAGCACCTTCGATAATTTAAAAATTGAAAATCCAACGTAAATTAGGTGGATCAGGGCAAGTTTTTCAAGCTCTTCTGATCCCAGATATCCGATTCAGATCTTATATGACGAACTCTGGTTTTGCTATCACTTTTAGAAGCCTGTTGTCTCTGTGGATCAGCTGAATATCAACTCTCTTTTTTAAATACTTCATACTATTAGTTTTTCCAAATACTCTGTCATTATTAATTTGTAGAAGTCTTTCTCAAAATCGTTCCAGGCTCATTTTCTTAGTGTATTTTCTCAACCATGGGATACTTTTGAAAAGCAATCACTTGACGGATTTCTGTGACCTTCATGCCGGAACATAAGACATATAAAGTTGAAGATTTCTATAACTGAAAATATAATTCTTTTTGTTATTGAGATTCGAAACCCGTTCTCGAGTTGAAATTTCTTCAATGTGTAGGTCTTTCAGGAGTTGTATATGGTTAGCTGATAAGATAGATAACGTTTCTGGTTTCATTTCATAAGATATCGTTGCCAATGGATAATCACTATGAGTATCATGAAACTCTGTTGAAAATTGAAATTCTACCCACAAAAATATGCCCATCTTCTTACATTTTGAACATCTCTATAATCAAATTACTCCCTCTAAAGCCAACAAAATCCATGTGTGGGTAAGGCCAGACTAATTGACCATCCATATAAATTGAGTACATCAATGTTGGTTGGTTCTGATCGTAATCGTCTATGTATGGGTTGTTTGCTTTTGCATATCTTTGAGATATCATTGAAATATCTTCACTTAAACCCCTTTCAATAAATAAGTTCATGTCAAAATCAGTAAATAGTTCCAGGATTAGATCTGTCATTTTGAGAGCTGCCTGCCATGCTTATGCCGGTGCAGTATATAAAGGTGCAGGATTCGGTTAGTAGATATTAAGGCATACATTTTTAATGTTTTAAAGGCCATCATCTGATTCCATGTGAAGATCATGATATTCCCCAAAGTAATATGTTCCAAATACTCCCCACACAATTTGAACATGACTGTAATTTGCTTCCGATATACATGTACCTTGATCGTTAAAGGAAAAACTGCTATGTCTGGTATACAACTTTCTTTGAATATCCCAATACCATACATGTACTGGTAGGGATAAACGCTCTTACGCACGAGTAATTTCATTTTTTTTTACTGATCCAGAATCCCTTTGCTATGTATTGTCGAATTTTTTTTTTTTTTTTTTTTTTGCTACTTCTTGAAAAATATTGTGCACAATCTTTTCTAATTTCTAAAGAGGTTGACAAAAATGGAAAGGAATCAGTGAAATCTAATTTTTCTACGGAAAATGATTTATACTTTTCATGGTTTTGGGAACTGCAGTTTAGTTCTTTGTCTTTCATCTTTCCGATGGCTTGCATAATCCTGTGTGAATCATTTCATTTCATGTTATTAAAAAAGATACCGGAATTTGCTCTTTCTTTCAGATTTAAGTTATAGGAACTATGGAGGATTTGGCGAAATTTTCTTGTCACATGGCAGTGATCACAAACTCGATCTTTCCCAAGTGTTGATGAGAGACATAGCATTGTTCTGCTCTTTTAAATTTGAAATTCTTACTTTTCCATTCTAAGTGGTTTGTGATTTATAAGCGCAGTAGTAATCTTTCTTCAACGTGTAACATAAGCCCAACAAAAGTTTCAATAACGTCTTCCCTACGATATCTTCAAACATATTATCATCAAGGCCAATTATTTTGTAAGTAAATCCTTACGATGTGTGTTTTGTGATTTTTTTTGTTTGCTGGATCTTTTTTTTCTGCAATACATTCAAATTCAGCATACATGTACAGTACAGAACTTCCTCATTCTTGCTGAAATACATCTGTGTATCTTTACTATTTATTTTCCTTAGTTGGCATTTCAGTTCTTTGTGCCCTGCGTATATTACAGTAAGATATGTGTTTTAATAGCCTTAATTTTGGGAAGCTATTCAAACCATAGCAACAATAAAAATATTGACTTCGATAATTGCTTCAGTCTGCTAGAAGTCGATTGAAATTTTAAATCCAACAATTAATGATGTAAGCAATGCCAGCTGGATAATACTAAATGCTGAACATGGCGCTGATAAGGGTTCGTTGTCAAGTTAATGGGATATATGATTCCTTTTTCATATCCAGAAACTTTAATATAAATCAGGTTATCAAACATCTCAATATCTTTCATTTATTTGAAATTATATTTCGTTGAAATTCGACTTATCAGTACATGGATTGTACCTGAATAATCTGTTTGGATTTTTCTGTTGGATGAAGTGCTGAGAAAATCTGCCCTTTGAAAATATTTAATGTCATTGTTTTGCACAGTAACAACAGCTTTTTCAGCTCGTAGTTTAATATGAAGAAGAATGAAGCTTGTTTCATTTATTGACTTGTGTTTGGCAATATCAATCTTCAGTTCAAGGACTTGATAGAGAGTCCAGTTACTTCTTTCTTTATGACATTCTAAAAAGGAGGCCATAATCTTCTTGTTGTTTTCTTGAAAACTATGTTTTCAATCTTTTATCTTTAATGCAAGATACAGTGTATCTCTTCTGCTAACCTGCGTATTACAGGTCTTAAACTGATGTGTTGGTCAATCATGAGCGATCAAAACTTGAGATATGGCTAAATTAATGCTCACAGACGTTGCATTAAAACAGGGTTTATATTGTACAGAACATTTTGAAAAAAAAAAAAAAAACTATTTAAATTTCCAACCGAACTAGACATATTTTTGTCAAAATTGGGCAAAAGTAAAAAAAAATGCTGAAAAAAAAATGAAACACCATGAAATTATTAGACAACATTTAGAATCTGATTAGGAAACTAAAGTTTCAGACAATTGCCTGGTCATCGTCATTCCTGTCAGCAGAGACTGAGCTGCGTCCACCGAGGTAGACTCATATGAACTTAGGTCGGACAGGTCTTCCCGACAATAACGGGGACATGTTACGTTAACACTCTCCTGTCCGTTGTGAGCTTGTAACATCGCCCTATATCGGTACACCGTATTCATATGCAGCAATGCCTCAGATCTCAATGTTCTTCAAATGTATCTGTATTATTTAAATCATGTCAAAAAAAAATACATGCAATGGCAATAATATTGATAATAGTTATAACTCATATTGTTTTACTTAGCAATCTATCTGTGCAAATTCTGTGGAAATTGATACTCTGCTGAAATCTAATTTAAAAACAAATAACATGGTTAAACAAAACAATTATATGCAATAATAATTTCTGCTGTTTGGGAGTTACAGTGAATTTTTCGTGCTGTTGCTGCTGCAGAGATAAAATGCATTCCTGCTGTTGCTGCTATTTGGGAGATAAAATGAATTACATCTAGGTAGGATCATATGAACTTGAGTCGGACAGGTCTTCCCGATAATAACGGGGACATGTTACGTTAACGCTCTCCTGTCCGTTGTGAGCTTGTAACATCGCCCTATATCGGTACACCGTGTTCATATGCAGCAATGCCTCAGATCTCAAATTTCTTCAAAAGTATCTGTATTATTAAATTAGAGTTTAAATCAAATAAATACAGACAATGGCAGAAATATTAATTATGAAAATTCATACTGGTATACCTAGCAATCTATCTGTGGATATTTAAAAAAAAAATTCCCCCCAAAATTATAAAAAATAATTTCATGAAATCTTAATGAAAGGAGCAAAAGCGACTTACATGTCCTTACCTCTTGATTCACCACAAAATGATGGATTTGATTATCTTTGCTCTTATATACCCGTCAGAGTGACTGTGAAAATCCTTTTATCTAATTGGATAAGTAAAAAAAAAAAAATTGAAGACTCAAAAACTGTGACAATGCATTAGATTTAAATAACTGCTTCCGAGATAGGATATCTTCCCAGTGTCTCGCTCTGATTATTTCACTTCGTTACCTCTAGGTTATAATTTTCAAAACGTTCGCTGATAAAGACACAAAACAAATTTTTATACATTTCAAGGATAATAAAATGATTTTTTGTGCAACATGTCAAGGATTAACTCTTTAAAGTTCTATGTTAAATCAAGTCAATTAGTTGTAAATTAAATTGAAATATTTTTTTTTAACCTTTTTAGATGCAAACATAGTTCATAATCATCCCGATAAATAAGTGACAATAATTGTTCTTTATTTTGTTCTTTATAAATTGTCAAATTATTTTTAAATTTTTTTAAAGTAAAATAATGAATTACCTCTTTTACGCATATAAATATCGAGAAAACAATTAGATGTCTTCTCAGGTATGCTTTTAAAAACCAATATGGCGTCGCGTTATGTACTTTTTATACCGGCTAGAACCAGTGATCGTTATCTATCCTGGCACGTTTAAACATTTACCTGTGTTGCACTTGACTGCGTCTAAATCAAAACTAAATTCCCGAGACGATTGTACAAATTACTGTCAGTCATAGTATTCATTTGCTTTTAACAATTGGTTTAACCGTCGTTCAGAACTGAACGCTTTCCTAAACACTTGTAGATATTAGCTGATTTCTGAAAGGTGAGTGTATTTTGATGAGTTAAAGATAAAGTTTGCATTTTCATCCGCTTCAAAGGCTATTGACAGAATTAAGATCTTTTCAATTTCTCAGGGTTTTCAGCATTTTTTTTTGTTCTAAACGCTTACAGAAATTGAGCCGATTTTTAATACGTGACTTTACCTTGATGGTTTATAGATTACCTGTAGGTCTTCATTTCCTTTCGCTTCATCAATTTTTTGACGTAGCTATATTATGTTTATTACTAGAGTCAAGGTCGGGTTCGTGCTGTCCTAATAAAATAACACGTCGAAGTTTTCATGATTAGATCAAGTTTAATTCTTTTTAAATTGTTAACGGTTTTTACCATATAAAATAAGCTGTTCTGATCAAAGCATGCATATATATATATATATATATATATATATATATATATATATATATATATATATATATATATATATATATGTCTAATGGCATTCAAACACGTTTTATTTTTTCTTGGCAAGGCAGATCGACTTAGAGATGTCCAATCTAGTAGGTAATAAGGAAAACAGATTGATTTTTTTTTCAATTCTTGGATACATTTTTGTATTATGCTAAGAAAAATTGGAATGAAATTATTTTACCTTGCCTTTATTGTAGTGAAATTGGGGAACTTTCAAAATATACATTTAGATCATTTTCAGTGCTTTTGTGCACTATTTGTATTAAAACTACCTTATAAAATAGGAATTGATAATTTAAAAAAAGAAAAATTGTAAAATGTTTTGTTTTTCACATATATCACACAATTTCCTATTCCTCTTTTAAAAAATGAATAAAAGATTTGGGGGTAGCCTTTATTGCATTTTCTAAAAGACATCTTAAAAGACTAAAAAGGTAAGTAAATTTATATAACTTGATATTTTGTAAGTCCCAGTGCGTTTACATAACATCAACAAATGATTGTAATACTATATATATATGGTGGCATATTTATGCAATTCAAATAATACTTTCAACAGAAATGTAGCAAATCATGTCAAGTCATAATAGATATCTCGTCAAATGAAGAAAACTTTCACGTTTGTCGTCAAATACCGACTTTTATCTTGTATAGTCAAGATACCCTATGGTATTTTTGCAATAGATATCTTGAAAAATCTTCATGTCTTCATGTCTTCACTTTTCCATAAAGATGACCTTATAAAATGATATCCTAAAGAGAGAAGGGGATCCCGAGACACGTTTCACTAATGCAATACTCTCAAAAAGCTTGATCCTTCTTTCGTAAAAAAAAAGAAGATAATTTCAAATTCGAAATCAAGATAATATTCGAGACAGTAGAGTAAGAAGGGGAAAAATAAGGGAGGCTTGAGAAAGGGAAAAGAGCTTGAGAAATAGCAATAATTAGATATAATTTTTCAATAAACTAAACAATATATTATATTAATACAGTTTTTCAAAAAAAAAAAATCCTGTTAGTTTCTTATCATGGTTATAGTTAGTTTTTTCTTATTAATTTATTTTTTTTAACGAAATATCAGCTTAACACTTATTTTGTCTGTAATTGTATCTTTTAAAGTGATATATAATTAGAACAGCCCTAGAATATATCAAAATTCAGTAAAAAAATCTATTATCATTATCTTATTATTTACACATTCAAGTATTACTCACCTGGGTAAGCTTTTTCTAGAAACGCATCAATTGCTATTAAAACATATGTTAAAAAATGATCGATTACATAACCTACAGGAAATACCAGATTAAAATAAACCCACGTCAATGGAAAAACCCCTACATAAACAAATACATGGGCGCAGACATTTTGGACACCCAAAGTTGTGCGGAGGAGAAAATGCTACCTGGCGCGTGATTGGTCAATAAGAGAAAAGACTTGATATGTATTTGACAAGTGAAATAAAGTTGATAAAAATGTAATATCAAGACTTGGGTTTCTTTGAGATATGTAGGAGTTACAGGTAAAAATTTGAAAGGAGGGGTGCCCTTTGGTTAGAGATTTTCATTTGGTGTCAAACGCACCTTGTTGTAAACAAATGGAAATTGAAAGTAAAAGTGCCGCGTGACGGTATATTTTTTCTGTCATTTTTTGTTTTCCAATATCTCGAACTTTCACGACAAAAAGGCCATTTGCCCGAAATTCAATACATGTATGAGTGACAGGGGCTCAAGTTTGTATGGAAGTCTATGGGAAAACATTTAGTGGTGTTTGTCCTATAGAATAGGTATGTATTTCATGGAAAAACATGGATTACAGCCAAAAAATCAATCAGTTCCTATTTTTTTGGCATTGAGATAATATTTTAATTAGTTTTTACTATTTCTTAAAAAAATAGAGGGTTTGGGTAAATTGAGGTCCACAATGGGGGCTGCACATGGTGAAAAAATGCTAAAATATTTGCCCTAGCTCTCATATTTTCAATAAATGTACATGTAAATGATTTTAAATAAATATTTCTGCTGAAATTTACTGTGAATATTGTAAATAATACAATATATTGATGTTTATGGGCATCATCAATACACAGAACATATGAATATCCCCCTCGCAGTTTGAGAAATTCATTTAAATCCATTTATTTTATGAGTGCAGACATTGGAACATATTGACTAATCCTCTTTCAAATTTGTGTAAATTAGAGTTGATTGAATAACTTATAACAAAATTAGACTGCTGTTAAGTAATTAGGTTACTTTGTTTTTATTTAAGGGGCCTAATCCAGCAACAAAGCCAATTTCAGTCATATAATCAGTGCTGGCTTGATATAAAAATTATAGTTTGGGGAAAACTTAGAGATTACTAGTAGGAAATTTAATTGAGATTACTGTAAAATATATTTTAGCAGAAAATACATTGAAAATCTAAGAAATTTGCAACATTATTATTGCAAAAATGATGAAAAAAGTGTCTGAATATCCTTCCCCCTTGCCATATCCAATCTTGTTATTCTGCAGAAAAGAGGGGGGGGGGGGTTGTACTCTAATGATGCTGGAAAATGAAGGAATTTTTTTAAAATGTGGTTTATTTGAACAACAAGAGTCATGCTTATCTGCAGTTATTTTTTTTTCAATTTCTTAGATATTTTTAAAAATAATTATCTCAGTAAATTCTATTTAAACATGAATATTTTAAAGCTATTTAATCACTAATGCTTATAAAAAATTCAAAAGATGGTGTAAATGATAAAAAAATATAATATAAGCTACTACATGCATTTATCAGTATGTTTTAATAAAATAAAATGTATTTCAGCGATGCATTCTCAAGAAAGAGGAGATTAATGAACCCTCCCCTCTTACAATGAACTACACATGGACACTCTCAGGATGGTCCCTTTGCTCTCATTAAGAGTTCCAAGGTATATTTTTCCTAGAAAATCTAGTTAATCTCTTAATATTTAAGTTATTTAGAACTTTTGATATCGATAGATTATTAGAAAATAAATTTCTGCAGAACTGCAGTTATTTAAGCACTTTGCTTACAATTGAGCACTGTATTCAATCAGACAATATGATTTATCTGCCCTTGGCATTTAATCAATTTATTAATTATGTCAATAATAAGAAATGATATGCAAATGAATATCTTTGCCTTTCATGAGAATATACATATTTAACATCAATTCCATAAAATGTCCATGAAAATTGGCTAAAATATAGGTCACCCCCCTTCACAATTACAAAAATTTCAGTGGGGATGTATTTGATTCTCTGATGCCAGCAACCCACTGCTGATAGATTTTTTTTTTAATCTTATGTACATTTGAACTACATATAATTCTCTTTCTTTCCCTTGATTATTTTACCTACATTAGATTTCACTCTTTCCATAACCCAGCTTTTTCTTACAAAAACCTGCTGATTTTCTTCATTTTCCATTAATAACGGGTACCTGCTACCCTGAATGATTAACATGATCTACCTTGAGAAATTATTAGAGATAATAAGAAAAACAAGCAAAACATATGCGAGATTAATCATTTTATTTTAAAAGTTTGAAAGAAAAATAGAAAAATGCTTCAATTTATTGACATTTTTTCTGTTTTACAGATGAGGGTCTGATTGACTGGGGTGTGAAATGTAACAGCCAATGGTGTACTTAAGCTAAGACTGTCAGTCCCAATATTCAAGAGGTGAGATAAGCAATGGATATGTGTTGTAAATTTACTAAATTGACCACTTTTTATAAATGTTTCTTTTACTCTATAGGAAAAACCCCTACATAAACAAATACATGGGCGCAGACATTTTGGACACCCAAAGTTGTGCGGAGGAGAAAATGCTACCTGGCGCGTGATTGGTCAATAAGAGAAAAGACTTGATATGTATTTGACAAGTGAAATAAAGTTGATAAAAATGTAATATCAAGACTTGGGTTTCTTTGAGATATGTAGGAGTTACAGGTAAAAATTTGAAAGGAGGGGTGCCCTTTGGTTAGAGATTTTCATTTGGTGTCAAACGCACCTTGTTGTAAACAAATGGAAATTGAAAGTAAAAGTGCCGCGTGACGGTATATTTTTTCTGTCATTTTTTGTTTTCCAATATCTCGAACTTTCACGACAAAAAGGCCATTTGCCCGAAATTCAATACATGTATGAGTGACAGGGGCTCAAGTTTGTATGGAAGTCTATAGGAAAACATTTAGTGGTGTTTGTCCCAATGGAACTACTACTTTCTTTTTGAATTCTCGGTAGCCTGGTATTTTGCGGTATGACCGATTCGCTCCAATTTGCCCTAAATGTTTGCTCCAAAGAAATATTTTACGTTTTTTTTTATTCTCGACCCATATAGCTAAAATACTGAAGATTTGATATTTTTGTAGCTTACAAGAAGGATAATACATTATCCGACAATACAGGTTTTTAAATAGAAATGCAATATGCAGTTAAAGTAGAAAGTTAAAAAATATAAAATTAAAGGTTATCATTAGATGGTACGATATACAGCTGTACAAACACGAAATATCGTCCATAAGTGAGAGTTATCGTTCATTATAAAGAAGATCTATTCACTTGTAGTGTATGGGAATTTTTGAGATGTGTTAAAATAAACGGAAATAAATGAACTATTCTTAATATGAAATTATTTTCACTGGTAATTTACATTTATGCATTTATACATTTATGGTAAATTAGAATTGGTAAATTATTCATGAAGTCTTACGCGTAAAAGTAGAAGTACCTGATAGTTTGAATTAATTTTTTTTTTGTTTTTGTTTTTTTTTTTTTGTTTTTTTTTTTTTTTTTCTAATCAAATATTGATAATTGTGGATTTATTTAAATTAAAAATAATATTAATTGAACGATGTTAGAAGAAATATTTTCTTTCAATATTCATTAGTATTTCCTCTAACACAATGTTTATGTGTATTGGGAATAGAAAATGAGCGAAAGGGGGGAGGGGGTATTTATCCGTAGAAACAGGTTTGTATCCTTGCACAAAACATGCAAGACACTAACATATGTCTAGATGCTGCCATAAGTCTTTCCATTATTTTTACAGCAAATCGTATGATCGGTATTTAGGGCAATTGAGCAGTGAAGTATCATTTTCATGCCAGCATCTACTGCGACACGAGACCTCGGTTTTCAGAACCAACCAGACAGATCTTGACACAAAAATAACGCTCAACTAGGACCTTATGTCGCCAGCTTAGTTCGCAGCTATCAACCCTGTTTACACTGCTACAAAATGTACAAACTCGCAACCGTAAAGTGAAAATTGAATTAATTAATCGTATACTAACTTTGAAACCTTTACAGTTAACAAAATAAACAGTAAATGTATTTTAGTCACAGGAATAACCATTTGCAATGTATTAGGAAGATACCGGGGGGGGGGTATTTAATGCAATATTTTAAGATATATAATATACATACTTGTTATAACTTTGTTTATTTTTTCTATGTAAAAATTTGACGAATAAACATGCTATATTTTCTTCAGGTTATTACGACACTCAGGATATTCTACTGCAAGGTTCGTAAAACAGATGGTTCCTTCTACGCTAAAAATACATTGTCACCCTGCGATTCGGGTTACAGAAACACTTCCTGAAATTGCGGGAGTAAGATATTGTGGATAATGAACAATACAAGTCCGCCAAGGAAATTTTTAAAGAAGTTTTAGTCGAGCTAAAAAAAAGAGAACATGGGAGACTTAAAACATAAGGACAGTATAACACAGGATGATTCATGAAAACTTTGCCAAAATGACTGTTTTAAATTGGACAATCCTCAATCTTTGCAGAATAGAGTGTTTTTTTTTTTTTAGGTTATTTACTATAACTTTAACAGGGAACGGGAAAATTGAGGGAGGCGAAGAAAGAGGGGTTTAAAATAAACACAGATTCCCTAGGGAGGAAATACATCAGAATGAAGACAAAAAGACAGACAAAAAATCATCGAGGAGATGATATTAGGTATCACAATGACAAGGAAGGCCGACTTTATGAGAATCCAGGTAAAACATTGATACAATGTAACAGTAAAATACATGTATTAGACTCATTCTTATGATACATCAGAAGTGATATTGAGCTGCTTAAACATGATTAATATTATCACCAGCTACATTGTCCTAATGACATGTACTAACATTTCAGGTGACAAAGACTGTCCTGTTGCTGCATTTCAACTATACTTGAGTAAGCTTCACCCCTAAAATCCTTTTTTGGCAACGCCCCAAAAAATTAGAAAATACCGGTATGTCTGAGAACCTACGGTATGATAACATGGCAGTGGGGAAGAATACCCTTGGTAAAATTATGGCAAACGTAAGCGAGGAAGCAGGTTTGTCTAAACAGTACACCAACCATTGCATAAGAGCGACATGCATTACAAATTTAGATAAAAAAAATGGCATCGAGACAAGACAGATCATGGCAATAAGTGGGCACAAGTCTGAAAGCCCTGTTCTTTCATATACTAAACGTCTAGGGGAGCAGAAGAAGAGGGAGATTTCCATCATCCTGAGTAACTGTGTGAAATCAGATAAACCAGCACCAAAAATTCCCCGTAAATCACAAGCATCCTCGCCTCTACAAGCTCTCAACTTTACGGATTTTCTCTATGATTCTTGAAAGATTCCAGATATACTGACCGACAGTGTACTCGAAAACATAGAAAACTTTGAAAAGAATTACATGGCAACAAACCCCCTAACTATATGGCTGCAAACAATGTCCAACTCCCACATCCACATGGTTTTTTTTTATTCAAAATATAACTGGATCAAATATCCATTTCCATTTTGAAAGGAATTAAATTGCAGAAATGATAGATTACATTGTTAATTGAATTGTTTTTGTTTTTTTTTTTGTAAATGTCAATTGTTGAACCTTTTTTTGATGATTTAAAAAATATATGAAACATGAAGAGTTCTCTATGTTGTCGTGTCTTGCAATGATGTGTCTGACACAAATAAAGTTTATTTCGGTATAATAAAACACCTATTTACTGTCTTTCCGGCTACGCCTCGGGAAATAGTCTTTGGGGACAATAAACTTGCTATTTTCCTCATAGTCAGTAAACAGGTGTATAATAAATCATAAAGTGACGTTACGTGCGATGTTAGTGCCATTTTAGTGACTGGCCTATTAAACCCATCGGCGATTAAAAAAAAATACTCTCAATATTGGTGACTTTCGTATGAATGAGGAAGTTATGAATAGAACTTCCCGATTCCGGTCAAAAAATTAAGTTTAATTATATTTTATAGGAAAAATATTCTTACAGAGCAAATCAGAGTTATATGAAGCGTGTAACGCGTTACATTTTTAAGCAGGGATAGGACATTTTTCTTGTATAAAGTGTTCAAAATTGAACCTAGTTTTAATTTTATTCACAGAACAAGAACATTCAATAGCGTTTGTGTTTTTATTAGCGATTTTGCATTTAATGGTTGCAAGAAAACAAGAGCAATTGTTCTCCTAGAAAAAAAATCCGTTACGCTATTAATTAAAAACTTGCATATGGATTTAAACATTAAATTCACTCTTTTATACGGAAGCCCATTGAGGCCAGCCCAGGAAAAGAAATATTTTTGATTGCGTTCAAACGCAATAATTATTGCGTTTAATCGCAAAACTTTGCGTTTAATTGCAATAATTATTTGCGTTTAAACGCAAAACTTTGCGTTTAATCGCAATAATCATTGCATTTAAACGCAATCATATTGCGATTAAACGCAATAATTATTGCGTTTAAACACAATAATATTTTTGCTTTTAATCACAATAATTATTGCGTTAAATCGCAGTAATTTTTGCGTTTAATCGCATTAAATTTTGCGATTAATCGCAATAATTTTGCGACGGTTAAACGCAAAACTTTTGAGATTAAACGCAATGCTTTTGCTATTAAACGCAATACTTTTGCGATTAATCAAAGTTATGAGATAAAACGCAATAATTATTGCGTTTAAACGCAATAGAAATATTTCTTTCTCTGAACTGGCCTCAATGGGCTTCCGTTTACTTTTGTATGAAAATTTATATAAAAACAAGTTGCTGTCCTTTAAAAAAGGACAGCAATACGTGGACCATATGCATGTTTTTCTAACCAAAATTCAATTAAGAACATTTCTAGTTGTAGTGAATATTCAAGTAGGCTTGTTCATATTTTCTACAATGATCTGCCTATTTATGACAGACTGTAGTCTCAAAGCAAAATTGTTATATTTCATCTCCGATTAGCGGCCTTTAGTTCTGTCAGATTAAAAATATCGGGCTATTTTTCATACATGTACATGTAACCCATACTGGCTGGGACTTGACACCTGTTGTGGATTTATACGGAAGAAATCTATCATGGGAAAATAGAATTCTGATGGTTCACGTGTAGCACAGCTCTGTGGTACACATATTGCTTTTTGTCGGCGTCCCCCCCCCCCCTCGTCTTCATTAAAAGCCATTGCTACAGACCTCTAACAAACGGTTTTTGGATTGCCAAAATATTAATTTTTTCAGCGAGACTTGATGCATAAAACTAATGCCGGTGAAAACTTGTACTATCTTTTATAAGGTAGAACTAGTCGTTGAATGACGTTTTTCATTCAAGTTAAGTTACGTGTACGTGTATCTTCAAGTTCTTCCTACTTTTTTGAAATACTTGTACTATAGAATCAATGTTTAGTTTGTATATAAAGTATGTGTAAAAGAGAAATTTGGATCTGTCAATGAATATGTAAATGCGATATGCGGATTTAAACTCGCTTATGTATTTACTGCGTGGACCTCAGGGTCCACGCAATATACTGTATTGAAAAATTTGCCTTTCTTATTTATTTGAAATAATTCATAAATTTTGATTTCAAACCGTATGCTTTGTAGCTAATGGATAGATTACAAGTTCAACAGAAAT